AGTTCCCCTCTCTCCTAATTTTGAGGATCTAGCAGAAGGGATCAGAAAAACTCATCAAGGATTGCAAAGGAGGGCTTCACTGACCATGCACAGACAGATATTAGAAGACACCAAAAAGCTACATGACAGTAGTACAAAGGGTTCTAACTGTGTTTCTTGAAAGGAAATGGGGACTGAGGCAGCAAGAGGAGCACATGCCATTTTGCCCACCCATGGAGTCTTACAGCCCGCATGTTAACTCAACACAAAGCTAGATTCCTGAAACAAAGGGGAAGGGAAAAGCAGGCATCCTCTCATTTCACTGCTCTCTGCTCATTCTTGGCCTGCTCTCTCCTGGAACAAGTATTTGTAGGACCAACCAATGACTCAGTTCCCCAGTTCTGACTCAGGTCAAAACCAGCTTCCCCAAAACACAATCCCACACACATGCTGGCTCTTCTGCAGGAATTAAGATGTGTTAGTGCCTCAGTTCAGAGTAGACCCATCCGTATAACAAACACCTTTATATTTTTAACCTATATGTAAGAATTGGAAGTAAAATCAAAACTTTCATACTGTTATCACAGTATTAGACTTCCTGAATCTAAACACTTGCTTTCTTTAAAAAGGAAAACACATAATTTGTCCAAATGACTGATAAGATGGCTTTTAAACACGGCACTCTAAAATCTAAAAACCAAAAAGTGAGTGTGCTTCAAGGAACTGATTTGGCAGGACATATTAAAAAAAATCAAAATACCCTTTTTAGTGTCTGACAACCCAGATTATTAGGCACAAGAGAAAACAGCACAAGTGCGGACAGATTTGAAAATTTTCTGCTTAGATTTATACTGGGCATTATGAATCTGGTTAGATATGTCAGCTCTCTCAAATCGTATTTATAAAGCAGCAGCAGACCATTACTTCTGAACCTTGGAACATCATGCATCATTTTTCATGAAGGAAGGAAGTAAGCATTTGCCTTAAAACTTGTTAAGAGAAATTTGCTGTCCTAGTTCTCAATAAATACACAAACAATTTAATCTTTTCTAAATAACTATCACCAAAGAAAAGCGGTGTTCCTGTTTTAAAGGTATGAAAGAGGAAAAGGAACTAGGAGACAGACTCAAGACACCATGACAATATCAAACTTCAGTTGAGTGCTTATACTTCTCTACAATCAATCCAGATTGTTTCCTCCTAGTAAATCTATGCTATGAGCAACATTTACATAGTAAAAACAGCTAAAGTGAACAGCATAAAATTAGCCAAAGCAGAGAGAGGCATTCTTGTACTATACAGCTTTTCTCCCTTGAAGACACTAGTAATAAGTTCAGACATTTTACTGCCCAAAGCTATTTTCATCTTTGCAATTTTTAAACCAAGCATGACAGCACTTAAGAAATTTCCAATCCTTTGCACACATTTCTTAGTCATCAAAGGCTAAGATGACTTCCTGCTTGCACTCTAATTTTTCCGAGGCAGCTAACCACCACTAACTATGGGTGGAGCTACATTTGAACACGCTAGCTCTGGAAAGTTTAGAGAAGCAGTGGAAATGCTGGCAACGGTATTTACACACTTGCCAACACTCACTTTTTCCATCTCTAGCCTGATTACTGCCTTGTGCAGTTAAAGCTTGCTAGAAGTTAAGCAAAGTTGTGTCTATCATCTGTGGCAAACTTTTCAGTGCTGGTCTACTGCAACCACAAAAGTCTATAAATTAAGTATTAGATTTCAACTTAAAATTATTTTTTTCTCTTTCATTACATAGCACTTACAGACTTTTAAGGAATGATAGTAGGTAGACATTGCCTGATCTATCAGGAAACAGCCAGAGCACTACTGCTTCATTTTGCCTATGTTAAGAGACTGAGGTGGGCCCTTGCTATGAGATGTCATGTGGATGTACAGGGAGATTTTTGTATTGCTGATGAAGAAATTCCTCCATGTATGAAACCACTAAAGGTTTACCCAAGGCAGAGCTGAAGGTAAACAAGGAGGAGTAAAGAGGTAAAGAGCTGTGCCTCCTTGAAGCTGTATCAGGCATTAAGCAGGGAGCTGCCCCCTCCCCTGGCACTGGTTTGCACCACAGTGATGAGAATGTGGGCAGCAGTGCAGCTGCAGCTGCACCGCTTCACACCATCTGCTGGGTCTAGCAGTTACAGCCTCCAGCATTTCTCCACTGAAATTCACACCTGCTGCACTGCACACACCACAGCGAATACAGAGAATGGCAGAGACCAATGAAAATAAACTGCAGGTTTATACAAAGCCTGGCATGCAGATACCTGCACAAAACTGTCCTGGTTTCATGCATGAACAGAATGAACTCTGAGCTGAGGGTTTACGGGTTTGCTGTGACTCCAATATATTTTATTTCAGGAAAGCTTAGAGATGGACAACAATTGCCATGACTAAAGTAATCCAGAACTGAAATCCTAGTAAAACAGATTTGGAACATGCCCGTGGGTCATCCATCAGGCAGCCTGTTTGCCATTTTAAACAACTGTAAAGACTGTTGATGCCCCTTGCAGAGCACAGACATCTGTCCCCACTGCTTCATGAGTGCCTTTTCTGCTGACAAAGAGCTTGACCCACTACTTTGTCCCTGGCCATGGCAGGGTGGCTGGAACTACATGACCTTCAGGGTTCCTTTCAACCCAAACCATTCCAGTTACTGACAATGGAGAAATGATACACTGAACTACTTCACAAAATAAGAAAGTTAATTCATCAAGGAAAAGTAATCTGCTTTTTCTCTTTCAGTGCCTTTCTGAGACATTTCAGGTTTGGTTTCATTGTTGAACCACCTGTGTAAACATCAAACTAACACCCTGCACAATACATTCCATTTACAGCTCCTGACCTCTTCCAGAAGCCATAGCTTTTAGAGCAAAAGGCATTTGAGGGTGTGTGCAGCTGATGAGCACTGTTTTCTCTTCAGTGCTCGGCAGCAAATCCACTGCTGTCAGTTCATACAGCAGGCTCTTCATCTGCCTTTCCAACGGGGACAGACAACATAGCAAAGAGGAATAAATAAACCACTCTAGGTAGTGTTCTTTATGCTTTGGGTCTCTAAAAGCACGGGGGATGGTACTCAGCAGCATCCTGACAACAGTACATGACCCAGAGCAGCCAGAACAAAAACAGAGTGAAATGTGGATAAACTCTACATACCAGCTCTGGACTTGAGAGGGAAGGGCTGGGGAGGGGATTGAGCCTGCCTGTGCTGTCAGCAGGCTGCTACTGAAAGACACTGGCAAGCAGCACACCACACACATTTTAAATTAGATTTTCACCAGGATTATAATTTCCTACTATAAATGTTTTCCAGAATTAAAAAGGCAGCTAAAGGACAAGCATTACCTGAGCATGAACTGGGAAAAAGCCCCCAGAACTGGCATTGTGTTTACATGCTTTTTGTTTAACTAAAACTTGTAGCCAAGGACGTTGCTCCCATTATTAAAAAAAAGCTACAAAAACTGAAACATACCACAGTACTAAGATCTGGGAGGTAACTTTTCACATTAAAAACCACATTTCACATTTAAAACCACATTTCAACATGGAAAAGGGAGATACTCCACAAAAACATTTTAAAAAACCCTCAGATTTTAAAGAAAAAATTAGTAATGAAACCTTATTATTCATATTTGATTTGCTACTGCCTTGCTTCTGCAGTTCCAAGAGTTTGTATTATCAATTTATTCAGCATCATTGCATAATGGAAGGTTTAAAATTCTAAAACCAGTTCTAAAACAAATTTTAAAATTCAAATAGGATTTTATAAAGTAACTACATAATTTTAAAAGTGACCTAAGACACAAAATATTACATAAATGTAATTCCTACACAACCATTTCAATGTTTTGAAGGTTTGTTGGCTGCTATTTCCCCTTTCATATTTTAATGAGAGAACACTGTTAAACTAATCTTTTCACTAAAACTTATCATCTAGGAAACCTAAGTTTCTCCAGAGTTCTTGGCCTATAATCTCCAAAATAAGCAAATACCAGGAACAGCATTTAAGAAAATGTTGTTTGGCCTTAAGCATCACAACCACAAGATGTTTCAATAGTATAAAATGAAGTGACCCTCTCATATCTCTGAAAAAAAATAAAAGAACCGACTTTGTATTGTCCAGGATCCAATTACAGAGAAGATATTTTTAAAAGCTGCTGACTGTATTTAAACAGAGTTACATAAAAGGCAAGCACTGTGTTTCAACAATATCGCAGTCCTGCTGGGAAGGACTTCCATTTGATGGATGTATTAGGTTAAACAGGTTTTATTTAGTACGTTTCTGCAGTCTTTTGGATCATACTCGACTGTCGTCTTGCCTAACAGTTAATGCATTTTGGTCTAAAGGACTACATAACACATGTGAACGATAACAGTTACTTCGTTTTTAAGAATATCTAAGGAGCCCTTCCTCTGAAAAAGGAAGTATTTAAAAGTCTTTCACGCTTAAGAGGTTACAGCGTTTTCCTTCCCCGCTCCCCCCCATAAGCGAGGCAGGTTTGGAGTAAGCTGCACTCCTTAATGCACCTCTCTCTCCAGCCCATCACCCAGTGCTCGGTACCAGGCACACGCCGACGATGCGCCAGTGCCTCCCTGCGCCCCGCTCAAACCATCAGCGCGAGTTTTAACAAACACCCTCCAAGCGGCGACCCTCCCTCCCGTACGATCCAGCTTCCCGTGGGAGATGACAAAGCTGGGAGCCGAACCCCAAAGCATATCCCGCTACAGGAACTGGTTATTAAGTGTGGAAACCACCCAGCGCCTCCCATCTGTAACTCCTGTAACACTCGCCAGACGGGAGATGCCTCGTTCTTCACCTGGCACCTGAACCTGCTCAAGGAAAGGGGTGGCCGGCAAACAACACTTTGGAGCACGGTCCCGGAATGCCACCCCAGACAGGCTCGGCACCGCCGCAAGTGATGCGATTTTGCAGCCACATCGGCGGGTGGCACCCGGAACCACCGCGTGGCGCAGGGGGCAGGAGTCGCGACACTCACGAGACGTAGGCGGGGTAGGCGAAGCCGATGATGTTGCAGAGCAGAGACGCGCCGTATCCCACCACCAGGTACACGGCCACGACCCCGAGGATGCCTGAGGAGAGAGCAGAAAGCCGTCAGCGCCCGAGGGACCGGGGCGAGGAGGCGCGGGCAGGGCGCGGCCGCCCGCGGTGAGCCGGAGGGCGACGGCCGGGGCTCACCGGTGGCGATGTAGGTGCGGCTGACGCCGGTCTTGCTCTCGATCCGCTCGAGTACGGCGGTCATGCAGTTCTTCTCGTGTAGGAAGCGGTCGAACCGCTGCCGCATCGCCGCGGTCATGGCGCTGGTGCCGCCCGCTCCGCGCCGCAGCCCCGCGCTCCCCGCGGCCGAGCGCAGGCGCCGCCCCGGCACCCAGCGCCCATCCCCGTGGCGCCGCGCCCGGGGGCGGTGGCGAGCGACCGGGAACCATCTTCCGCCGGTAGCGGGCCCGTTCCGAGCCCGCCCCTGCGCGAAATGGAGGTCTGGGGGCGCGCCCCGCCGGGACAGACCCTGTCCTCGGCGGGTTTGGGGGACTCCAGGGAAAGGCAGGGATGCGGCACCGGCCGCGGTGCGCGCAGCCGATGTCCCCTCGCGGCCTCCCGCCCTTCTTGCCCCGCCGGCAGGGGTAGGTTTTTAATCCTGGAGCGGGGCCAAGGACATAGATCCCTGCAAGGATGGTGCGCCCTGTTCAAGGAATTAAACAGACAAGACCCCTATGTCAGAGATGGCAAGGAGGAGAAGGCCACGCACGTAGCCGGCTCCAATTGCCTACAAGTGCTAGAATGTCCCCCCCACCCCCAAAATCAGCGCGTGATACCATACACCGTGAGCAAAAGTCAGAAACAGATGGTAGGCATTGATGTGATGTAGAAGAGAGGTTATAACAATTTACAGATACCCAAATGGCGCATGTGACCACGCCGAGGGCAGCAGCGCCTTGCTGTAACTGTATCCTGGAACTTACGGTGTGTGCAATGTTTTTGCCAACTAAATATAGTTTGTTGGCTGTGATGTAGTCCTGGAAACTTCCTTGGCTGGGCTGACCCTTCTGAGCAACTCCTCTGCATCTGACTCAGCATTACAACCAGTACTGGGACTCTTTATGCCCTCCTCAAATCTGTGTTGCTTCTGAGTGTGCCAGAAAATACTAATCAGTCTTCTTTTGCGTATGTCTTATCTTCATGTAAATTTTTTTAAAATATAAACATCACACTGTGCTTTGGAGCTGTCAGCTGGGGGGAAGGCATCTTGGAAATAATTTAAATTTAATTGCTGAAATACATTTTCTTCTTTCCAGTAACTGTTTTATTAAAGCAGAGGTGAGGAGACGAGGGAGGATAATATTTAATCCATAACTGTGGTCAAAAGGTTTGTCCTGTAATTGCAGGGATTTTTTTGTTGTTGGTGTTTGTTTTTTTGGTTTGGTTGTTTTTGGGGTTTTTTTTTTTTTGGTTTTTTTTTTTTTTTTTTTGGTGATGTAAGATTTCTGCCTTTTTTTTTAACAGAATAAAAAGATAGAGTTAAAAGTGATCTTTGGAGGTTATGTAGTGCAGTTTTCTGCTCAAAGTATGGCTAATGCTAAAGATAGATCCTGATGCTCAGGATCTGGATCCCTAGGATCTGAAAATGTTCATGGATGGAGATTCTGCAGCCTCCTTGGACAGCCCTTCACTGTGCTTAACTGCAACCAAAGAGATATTTTCCCTCACATTTCAAATTGAGATATCCTTTGATGTCATATGTGACTGTTTCATCTTGTCCTTTGCCCTGATTTTTTACACTTCTGAGGAGGGTCCAGTTCACTTTAACCTCCAAACAGAGAGCTAGAAGGTAGGAATCGATGTCCCCACTTAGCCTTCACTTCTGAGAAGAAGCACAGCAGTCCCAGATCCTTGATCCTCCTCCTATGCTGTGTGTTCCATCCCCCTCCTTTTCCCTTTTTTGTCTGCTGGATCCATCGGATACGCCTTGGGTTTTACAAAGAATGTGGGAGACTGTTGGGACTGGAATTAGGTAGTATTAAGGGATATACTGATGCTTTCAAATTAATAAAGATTAGTAACAGTGCCAGATAGCCTTTAAGAAATTGTCCTTTACAAGATCTGTGAGAAATTTAATTCTTGGCTTCAAGCAAAGCAAAATTCTACACCTTAATTTAAAATACAGCAATATTAAAATTTTAAGCAACTCAACTGAGATTGCCTTTTTGTCCAGTATATAAACACTGTCGTGTAGAAACCCCCTGTCTTATAAGGACACTGTAATGTTCTAATGTGCCTAAGGGTTAAAAGTGAAACAAGGTAAGCATCACCAAAGGTTGCAGAAAGCAGTGTCACTCTCATTTTACTTATGGTTATGCTGGAATGTGGAGAAAGTACAGGACCCACTAAATTCTAAATAAGTAATTCTCAAACTGAAGATTTGCAGACTTGGATCATAGTTTGCAGGAGTGCAAAAGCCTTGTGGAAATTTATTTTGGTCTTTTGGGGTTTGTTTCTCTCCCATGCTCACTCTCTTTGCACTTAATAAGGTGCCTCCAAAAATTTGGGATTTTTTCATCTAACTGAAAACTGAAGGACTGAGGAGGAGAGCAGGTAGGAGGTAAGACACAAAAGTATTATAAAAAAGAGAATTTAATAAAAATGTTAAAACCAACTAAATTCCTGCTGAGTTTTCATAATAACTCGCTGTCTACTTTTGTGTTCTTTTATTTAAAACTAAACTATGAAACATGGCATTGATAGCTTCCCCAGCTGATCTGTGCTAGACAAATGTTTTCAGTGCACTACAGTGTGCTGTGTAAACTCTTTATAGCCGTAAGGTTTTTAACTGTTTTGTTTAAGATACCTATGCTACAGAGCGAGAGAAAAATTAGTTTTTAGAATAAAGAAATTATAATGTTAAAGAGAAATAAAGATAGGGTACTATACTAAAAAATATCAAGAGTCTTCCAGCTCAATATGGAGAACATGCTGTATTGGGCAGTGGTCTTTCATGTTCTCACAAAAACCTGAAAATATGAACGGGGAAGGAATATTGTGGCTTGAAAGATCTAGAGAGGAAGGTTAAAGGCATATTGCATGACCTGCTCAAGGAGCTTCTGCAGGAGAGGAGGAAAACTAGAAAAATGTAGCAAAACTACCCCATGGAGGACCAAGAGGATAAGTGCCTTTCCGCCTATAAAGATTTGAAAGTAGTGGTGTCCTATACACCAGAACCAAAGCACAGGCAGCAGTAGCCCATTTGTCCAGGCTACCCATCCACTCTCTGTAGGTTACCATGAAGTACCAGAGCTGACATCCAAAGTCACAGGCTGCAGGACACACCTGAGCTGGGAGAGTAATTGTACCCTTAGAATGGCAGGCTGCCTGTCCTGCCTGCTGAGGGCTGTGCTATGAAACAAACTAATAGAAAACAGTGTATTGCAGGGCTGTGTCCTTCCAATGATACTCCATTCTTCATTTTCCCTTTTGGTGTCCTAATTTTTTCTCTATTTTTCTAGTTAATACAAATCCGTATCTTTACTTTTTTCTCTTTGATGTTTTAAGCTATTTAGTCTGATTTTAGGTTCAGACTGGCCTAGTCACTAGATAAGCTCTGTTCTTTAACTGTCTTCAACATACTTCAACTGTCTTTTCACTCTGAGCTGAAGCGTGGACCACTGTTATAATCAACCCTGAGTTAAAGGTCAGCTCGTGGCTTTAGCACAGGTGTGTACTTCATGGACTCACAGAATGGTTTGGGTTGGAAGGGATCCTAAAGCTTATCTCATTCTGACCCAACTGCCATGGGCAGGGTCACCTCCCACTAGACCAGGTTGTTCAGAGCCCTGCCCAACCTGGCCTTGAACACTTCCAGGAAGGGGGCATCCACAACTTCTCTGGGCAACCTCTGCCAGGCCCCATCACTCTAACAGTTAAGAGTTTTTTCACAACAGCTAATCTATATGTACTATCTTTGTTTAAAATCATTCCTCCTTGTCCTGTCATTATATGCCTTTGCAAAAAGTCTTTCCCCATCTTTCTTGTAGGCTCCCTTTAGGTACAAGAAGGTGCTATAAGCTCTCCCTGGAACCTTCTCTTCTCAAGGAAGAACAACCTCATCTCTCTCAGCCTGTCTTCTTAGGAGAGGTGCTCCAGCCCCCTGATCATCCTTGTGGTCCTCTGGACTCACTCCAGCAGGTCCATGTCCTGCTGATATTGAGGGCCCCAGAGCGGGACTTCCTCCAACAGTCTACTTGACTTGGAGTTTGAATGGATGATCACATCCCAAGGGATGTGTGTGTTACCTGAGCCATCTGGTTAAGCCTGTTTGAGATCAGTGTTGCCTAAACAAACCCTGCTGTCTTGACGTGTAGCATGTCATGTATGTAAAGCAATGCACACGTTATTGCCATTAAATGAATGATTACCTGCAAAGTCTTAGATCATAAATCCTTTGATCTGATTATAAAAGCAGTGTAATGTTAGGAAAAGCCCAGTACAGAGTTTTCTTAACAGGCTCACCACAGCTCTCTATATATAAAGTAACCAAATGATTGCTAGCTTACCTTTTTCTGTGTGTTTCCTATCTCCTCTGCAAGGTTCAGAGAACCTCTCCAAAGTTTAGGTACCATTATTGATCCAAGTCTGCTAATGAGTGCATCTTATTAGTTATTACAACGTCTTGTGCATCACCACAAGTGTGGTACTTTCTATGGTGCTTCTCACTTAATAAAATCCCTTCCAGATTATTTTCAGATCTTTATGGTTCTCTTTCCTTTATAATCAGGAAACCAAGATGAACACAGATTTAAGCCTAGATTTTCATTAACTTTTGTGTGGGCGATTTGGTTTACCTAAAACTTGCTTCAACATATTTTAAGTGTTTCTGTTTCTCCACATGGGTAATATGGGACTGGTTCTATAGTACATTACTGTCCTCCTGATGGTCTGTGCCAGCTCTTCACTCACCTTTTACCATGTAACACATGAAGCAAAGCAGGGGAGTAGTGCTTGCATTGTCTCCTTGCATACAGATTTGACCCAAAATACCAACTAGTAGCAACTGAGGGTGCTGAGCTCATACTGCTTACAGAAGGTATTTCTTTTCAGTCCACTTACCTCCCACCTCCATCCTTTGTTGGAGATTTTAGTATAGAATCTGTTTATTGAAGGGCTGAGTGGAATTAATGCCTTTTTGTGATTACTTAGGCAAGCTGAAGTCTGCAATCTCTTGATTGCAGACTATCAAGGTTCTGCCTCAATCTTTATTCTAATTCACATAAATTGCAAATAAATGTTTATTGAGTTCTAGATTTGGCTGGTGCTTGGTATCTGAGAGTGTCTTCCTATCCAATGCAATTCTCACTTTGGTGAAATTCTCCAAGCAAGACGTTATCCACTTTCAGCTCTTGTTTGTCCTGTGCAATCCAACTCTTTTTCTGAGATCCCTTTCTGAATGCGCAAATGGCTGGCTCCTGTTTTATTTTCTGCCACCTTCTCTCCCTGCTCAGTGCAAACAGACAACATTATTTTCCAAATATCTTATTGTTGCCTTTCAGACTGCCAAGGCTGACTGATAAGCAGTGATTAAAAACCAGTTTGAGTACATCACTGGGTGATTCTGCACATTGCTTGGAGCTCTGAGATGGTGTGGGTACTGTGTGAGCTTCTCTGTGATATGCCTGGCCTTCCTACTCTCTTAATTGCCCTTGAAGCTTGACAAGAGCTACTTTGCCAGCAAATCATGCAAGTTCCCTGGAGGATTTATCTTTGGGGAAATGTAACCTGAATATGTCAGCTTTAACTCAACTGGCATCATGTGAGCTAACGGGTAAAAGGAGTGCATGTTAGTTTATCAAAGAAATTAGAAAGCACACAGCAAGAAAAAGAAATTACAGTGGTACACAACTCCAAATCCTACTTCTGAACATATTTTTTCCTTTTGCTCATGTTCTGGCTAACCTAGTCTTCCAGCAATGTCTCCAAAATGGAGCAAGCAGAAATGTTCAAATGTATCTCTCCTCTCTCCCGTCTTGGAACACTGTCTACAAACTTCCATTATGTTCTTCAGGAAGTACCTTCCTCACATGTTAAGGATCTGTATTATTGAAGAGTGATTTGTAACTTAGGTAACATTTGACACATTTGCTTATTCATTGTATCAGGCTGGGTATTTTTCAGAAACCGTGACACGGCTAAAAGTACCATAGATGGCATGAGATGTCAAAGTGCATTTTCTAAGCCACTTTTTTTTCCTCTTTATCAATTGTTGGAGCTCCTGGAACCAAATCCACATGGGAGATGGGGACCAGGACATGGGGAGCAGTTTTTGAATGTAGCAAAGCAGGGAAAAACAGTAGCAGCAACAGTAACCTGATAACTGAAATAATCCAGACCATATAACTTTTAAAGAACCTCTTACATCTACTCTTTCTGGTAAAAAAGGAGCTTTTTTGGATTCCTGAGCAATGGGATTGATCAGTTTGAACTCAGATCCTTACAGCTGCTCCTCTGTCTAGACATATCAATAGTACTGTTAGTGGACTTTACTTTCGCTAACAAAGTACTTCTGTAAGTAAGTTAAAGTGATCCACCCATCACCTCCAAGCATCACAGCAATAAAGGGAGTGAAGCAAAAGTCACTGTCAAATACACTTAGTGGAGTTTGCTCATGAGTGAGACACCAATATATGTAAATATTACTGCTTCAGCTCCTACTAAGACTGGACTCCAACTCCTACTAAGATTGTCTTCTTACAGTATTGTTCTTTCTATAACTGGTTGAATGCCCTTTCCTGATACTTCTGGTGCTGTCATGGAACTCCTGTTCTTTGTTACATCTACATCTTTGGAAAGGAGGCAAAGGATACATCTCTCACTTTCTGTGCCTAACAGTCAGTAACTGAACTGGGAATGTACATACTTTTTGTGTCTTCAGGGTAATGCTGGACTGGTGTTTCTATGTGCTAGTTTTGACTAGGGCAGAGCTAATTAGCTAGTATGGAGCCTTGTTTTGGATTTGTGCTGAACACAGTGTTGATTATATTCCATACCATATAGCATCATAATCAGGATATAAAGCTGTGGGGAGAACAAAATGGGGGACATTCAAAGTGATGGCATTTGTCTCTCCAAGTCACTGTTACACATGATGGATCCCCATTCTGGAGATGGCTGAACACCTGCCTGGTCATGGGAAGCAGCGAAGGTTTTGCTTTCTTGTGTGTGCAGCTTTTGCATTCCCTATAGTTTAATAGGCAACACTAATAACTTACTAGACAATTTAGTCTTTATCTCAGCCAACGAGTTTTCTCCTTTCTCTGTTTCTCTCCCCAGTCCTGGTGAGGGAAAGAGCAGCCAGACGGAGCTCAAGCAGTTTGGCGAGTAAAGGAAGGGGAAGAACAAGAGGAGAAATGCGTCAAATGCTGCTACCTAAAATCAGAGGCTGCAATGCCAGCAGCAGCTGCCGCGGAGAGAGCAGCGATACCCTCTGCTGGCAGGGAGACACCTCCGGGAACGCCACCGGAGCCGGTTTTGTTTCGCAGAATCACAGAATTATTCCCTTTCGGAGATCGTCCCCTCCAGGCCCCCAGCCACCATGGCACGGTCACCTGGAGCACCTGGAGCAGGTGACACAGGAACGCGTCCGGGTGGGTTTGAACGTCTCCAGAGGGGGAAGAGTCCATGCCCTCTCCAGGCAGCGGTTCCAGAGCTCTGCCACCCCTCAAACTTGACAAAGTTCTTCATATTGTGGTGGAACTTCCTGTGTTTTAGTTTATGGCCATTGCTCCTCGTCCTGTCGCTGGGCACCACCCTCCTGGCACCCGCCTCGGAGGTAGTTACAGGCATTAATGAGATCCCCTGTCAGTCTCCTCCAGACTAAACAGGCCCAGCTCCCGCTGCCTTTCCTCACAAGGCAGAGATGCCCCACATCATCCTCGTCTTCATGGCCTCTGCTGGACCCCTCCCGTGGCTCTCTGTGCTGAGGAGCCCAGAGCTGACACAGCACCCCAGCTGTGCCTCACCACGCCCCGGGCCCCTCCCTCCATCGCAGCCGTCCCGCCGTCCCGCTGTCCCGTTCCGTGTCCCGGCGCGGCGCGTTATCAGCGCGCTCGCGACGACCCCACCCCGCGCCGCCCATTGGCCGCCCACGATCACCTGAGCGCGCCGGTCCCGCCCTCTGCCCCGCCCCATTGGCCGCCGCTCCGCCAGCGGCGGGAGTCGATTGGCTTCGGGAGCCGCCGCTCCGTCGCCCCCCCCCGCAGCGCGGCCCCGCCCCCGCCGTTTCTCTGCGCCCCGGCCTCCGCCGCGTCGGGATGAGCCGCGCTTCCCTATGGAGACCAAACGGGCCGAGATCCCCAGCAGCGTCCTGGACGACCTATGCAGGTATGGCCTTGGGGCGGGGGCGGCCCCAGGGCTGTGGTGCCGCTGCTGCCGGAGGGCGGGAAGGGCGCTTGACCCTGCCCGCGCCCGAGGCGCGGGGCTCGAGATGCTCGAGACATTGAGGGGGTGCGAGGCCACCCAGACTGAAGGGGCGGCTTTGGCCGTCCCGCGGCGGCCGGGAAGCGGAAGGACGAGGCTCTGCCCATTCCTACCGTGCCCGAGGCTCCGCCCTCCCCATGGAATCCGTCCTGGAAGGGCGGGAAGGCTGCCCGCGGCAGCCTGTGGACCTGGTGTGGGGCTGCTCCGGCGGCGGGCCGGGAGCCGAGTGCACGGGGGAAGTGGGAGAACGTTGTTTATGGGGATTTCTTGCGCGGCTTGGGCCGGAAAAGGTAAAACTGCGTCGGCGGTGTTTGCTCAGGTGAAAGAAGAGCTGGGAGCGTGGGGCTGGCGTGACGTGTAACCCAGCAGTGATGTGGTACTTGCTGCTCTGAGGTCTGGTTTCATTTGGAAGGGGTGGCGGGGAGTCCCTTCTGGGGAGTTTCCTCTGCTGGAAGGGAACGTGCCAGCGGGCGGAAAGGAAGAGCCACAGGGGCACCCTTCGGTGTGAAGCTGCCCTCTCCTGCTTGTCGGTTCTTTCAGAGTTAAATGCTTTTTTTGTTCCAGGGGCTTTGCGTTTGAATTTTCGTAAAGCGTGGATTCTGTAAAAGGGCCAAGTTGCATTTTCCCCCCGACAGTCTCAACCTCTGATCATGTGTGGTGCAGCCCTTCAAACTTTGTAATTTGTCTGTCATCCCCAGAATGTGATGACACAAACTGCATGTGATATTTGGCATGAAATAATCCTTCTATCTTACCACCTCCAAGGGACTCCTTATGAGGTATTTATGTAAAAGAGGGAAAGATTAGTGAAGAGGAAAGATACCCCGCTTACTGTAGTTACGGTTTTCAAATGAGCGAAAATGTTCAGAAGTGAGAATACCACAGGAAGGTAGAACTGTCCTCCTCAGTATTGTTTTGCACTTGTCTCATGCAAGAGTCAGAGTTTGTGGTAGGCATGTAAATTTTCAATTCCTTAAATCTGGCCTCGGAAGCATGTTTATGTTTCCATTGTGTCTACTTTGGGCTCCCTGCAGAGAGAGGAACTTGCCTTTCAGATCCCTGTTCACATATGACACAAGATTTAACACTTCTTCAGAAAATCCAGAGAGGAATTGCAGTGATTACAAAACTGATACAGCATGTTAGTGTCACTTCCATGGGGTGACTGACAGAAGGGCCCATGAGTATTTCAGTCTTACATTGTAATAGGATCAGTCCCAGTGTTTTACTATGTTTCTTTGAAATACTGTAATCTTCTATCTTGGAAATGGTGTTTTGTATTGTAATTCTGTTAATGTTATAAATGTGTTATAAAAATATCTGTAATATCCTACATTCTTCAATCTATATATGATATTAGTGGGAATTTTGGTAGAAAGTGACAGGTGATTTTTCATACTCAGTTACTGGGTATTGTTAAATAACAAGTTACAGGTATCCATGTCAGTTTTGTCATGCTGCCTTGTGCTATGGAGTTGTTTAACTGAGTAAAGAAGTGGATGTGCAGAGTCATAATATAGGTTTAGCAGCTTCTTGAAGCTTCCTTTGTCTTGTAAACAAGTCCTTTTACCCTTTTGACTTCCAGACTGTGGTTGATTCACCTTGCTGAAGTGGCCAGATGCTTACCCAGCCACACACTTCCCCTCTTCAAAAAACATTTGAAAAAGAGCTTTTTCTGCATCCTTGTTTTTCCCAGAGAAACTTCATGTCGGCTTCATCCTTTCATTCTCTCCTCTCCTCTACCTCCTTCCCTGCGAGCAGCTCAGGGGATGGGGAATGGGGGTTGTGGTCAGTCTGTAACACATCCTCTCTGGGGCTCTTCCCTCTTATGCTTTGCCCCTGCTCCAGTGTAGGATCACTCCTACGGGCTAAGGGTTCTTCAGGACATATCCATCTGCTCCAGCACGTGATACTCCAAAGACTGTAGGATGGACATCTCGTCTTCCTTCTTCTCCAACTTTGGTGTTTGCATTGCTGTTTCATGCTGTTTTTTCACTTCCTCTGCCTGTCTGGCATTTTTGTCCTGAAATACACTTCCCCACAGGCACCACCATCTCAGCTGCTGCCTCCAGCTGTGTCCCACAGTGTGTCCAGCATTAGCCTGTCACTGCCAGCACCTGGCAGCTGCACCTAGAACAACCTAGAGATGCCATGCCTGTTTTAGCACTTCAGTCACTCCAAGTAACTTACAAGTTAACTTTTTGATTAATAGGTATCATTGTATTTGGCTTTGCTATTGTTCTCTAAGCCTAATCCCTGGCATATTCTTACTCCTCTTTGATACTGCTGCATTTTATCTTTAGATTTATGTTCAGCTGCAGTGCTGGGGCAAGAAAATATCATCAACTAGATGATATGATGTAATGTAGACTTTTAATTTATCTTTTAGTTACAGCAACTTTATAGATAAGGGATCTTTTCAACAGTCAGAACAGAGCCTTCAAAAGAAACTGGAAGTGGTAGTGCCAATTGAAAATTGGGAAGTTGTAAAATGTTGATGTGAATAAGGTTATTTATGCAAGGGAAAATCACAGAGTGCTTTGGGTTAAAGGGACCTTAAATATCATCTCATCCCAGCCGCTCTGCCAAAAGCAGGGTCACCTTCTAGACCAGATTGCTACTGAACACTTCTGGGGACAGGTCATCCACAGCTTCTCTGGAAAGTGTGTGCCAGTGACTCATGACCCTCACAGTGAAAACTTTTTTTCCTATTATCTAAACCTTCCCCTTTTTCTCTTTAAAGCCATTCCCCCATGTCCTGTCACTATGACATAGTAAAAAGACTCTCTCCAGCTCTCTTGTAGCCCCGCTGAGGTCCTGAAAGGCCTCAGAGAAGACTTGATCCAGCATATCCCCATCCTCTTTTATTGAAGTTCCAACAGCTGGACACAACACTTAGGTGAAGTCTCACGAGAACAGAATAAAGGGTGAGAATCACCTCCCTTAATCTGCTGTGCACACTATGTTCCATCAAAAGAATGGGCTGCGAGCTCACAGTGTCAGCTCATGTCAAGATTCTCATCCACCAACACCTCAAATCCTCCTCCCCAGAGCTGCTCTCCATCCGTTCTCTGATCAGACTGTTTACATTGTGCTTGGATTATCCCAACCCAGGCACAGCACTTGGCGGTGTTGAAAGTCATGAGGTTCACATAGACTCCTTCTCAGGCCTGCCAAGGTCTTTAAGGGTATCTGGCCAAGGCCCTTTTTCCATGTGAAAATTGGATAGGAAGATGAGAAATAAAATCATAGTAAATAAATAAAGGCTACAAACCCAGCAAAAGAATGATGAGAAATCCATCAACAAAGCACACAAGTCTACAAAACCAACAGAGGAATGATAAGGAAGGCAGTGGTGAAAACCAAACCTGGCCACTGGTTGATGAGGGGGTATAGGAATGTTTGTTTATCTGATTATGGACCTATTCCTTGAAAACAGAAAAGAAGTGGAGGAATCAGAATGAAAATATATTTAGACACAGACCTAAGAAATCAGAAGTAGACACAATGACAAGAAACAAACCTGTTAATTTCACTAATTGACCTACTGCCAAGAAATCACAAGCATCACTCTGAGGAATATCAGCCTGGCCTTTGTATCTCTTAGGGCTTTAGATCTGGGGGGATCCCACACTCTGGGCTGGGAGGAGTGCCGCAGGAAAAGAGAAGCAGGGAGGGACAAAGCAAAGGTAGGCAGAAAGGGGTATAAAAGAGCTGGCTGTAAAACTGGGCAAGTTACTACACTTCTCTGTCTGACCCTTCTGCCCCAGTGTCACTGACTCTCCTGTCTTATATCTTAGTAAATATTTATTTTTGTCTGGATAATTCCACTCTCTACCCCCTGTATATGTGTGCTCCAAGAATGAAGTGCCAGCTGCTGATGGGAGTTCTGTCTGATATTGGGCAAGGTGTCAGCTGCTGGAGTGAGGGAGCAGATCTGAGCGCCAGCCACTCCCAGGAGGGGGTCTCAGCTCCCAGTGTCTGGGGTAGCAATGATGAGTGTCCTGGGTACCAGCTTCTGTGGGGGAAGTGGTGTGAGTGAGGGCAGTGAGGGGCAGAGCACAGGCAGCTGCAGCAGGACTGGGTGTGGGCGGGGGACAGGTGCCTTCCCCAGACCTCTTGTGCATGTGTTCTCACTAGCAAACTTCAAACTGGACCATCTGGTGGGGCAGGGACCTATGTGAGGGGCGTGAGGGTCTGGGGTCTGGGCAGGGCTATGGAGTGGCAAAGGAGACCTGTGATAGTACCTGGGGAACCTGTGAATGTGCCTGCAAACCTGGGGAGTATCAGGTGTGTGCCTGCACCAGTGAGGCAGTGACCTTCTGCCTCTGTCCTTGGCCAGAGTGCCTTAGAGAGGCAACCAGTTCTGAGATCCTGTGACAATTCATACTTGTCAGATTTTAAGTAAAGATACAGAATTTCTGCTTCGAGCAATGATAATTATGCACTTTTGGAATTTAGCTGGTTGCCCTAAGGAGCTGAATGTCAAAGATCTCCATCAAATGATTTAAGTTCAGTGGGGTGTATGACCTTAAATTTCTAAAAAGGAAGTTCTGCTTTCGGTACAAATACATAAATAAATAAAACTTCTTCTGCTTAGCTAAAATGGTGTATCACACAGTGCTGCTTAAACTTTTCTCTCAGTGACTCTGTCTGTGTGCCAGTATCTGGACTAAACCTGATTGTCCATGTTCAGTTTCAGACTGAGAAAATTTGTAGGATCATATTGAATTTTAAAATCTATGTAAATTATTAGTTTACTGTGGTTTTAAGTGAAAATATATAACTATGTTCAATTTGTGTCCTGAAAAAAATAGCACTGAAATATCTTATCAGAGTTTGCAGATGTTATTTAATGGGCTTGTAAAAATGCTTTCATTTTTGTAACACAGCCATTTAAGTAGGTTGTCTTCACACTCCCTGTTTTTACAACAGTTAATTTACTTAGTATATTGTAATTTATATTTCTGAAAGATCATAATAATCCATTTTCCTTCTTGACTTTAAAAGCTGTATTTTACTTTGTGAAAACTTTTTACTGTCCTTGTGGAACATGAGGAGGATCTGGAGGTCTGTTGGTATGTGCTAATGGATCAAGAATTGTACTGTTGCAATGTTTTATTGTTAGCTGTATTTAATCAGTAGATTTGGCTAATCTTACTCTTTTTCTTTCCTGTCAGCCGATTTATTTTGCACATTCCAAGTGAAGAGAGAGACAATGCAATCAGAGTGTGTTTTCAGATTGAACTTGCCCATTGGTTTTATTTGGATTTCTACATGCAAAACACACCAGGATTACCTCAGTGTGGGATAAGAGACTTTGCTAAAGCTGATATCCTTTTTATTACTCTGATTGTTTTCTGTCTCAGTGGTAAAGTGCAAACTGAATATTGTTAACAGTATTTCATAGTATGATAATGTCAGTTCATGTGTTAATGATTAAAAGTTAGTATTGCTAGGTATGTGGTGTTACTGAGCTCACTGCTTCCATAATTTTGTGGCACTCACAAAAGAGATGTTTCTTGGACTGCTAAAGAACTATGGAAAACAGTCTGTTTCTGATGTTTCAGGATTTTTTCTCATGGTTGCACTTTGCGTGCTAGGTTGGTTTCAAGGGTGAGCAGTTGGTGCTCTTCAAACTGAACTCCACAGATAATTAATTTTCATGTAACTAGTGACGTAAATATTAAAGTAGTTGAAGGTGGTATGTGTTCTGCCATGGCCAGTGGTATGTATTTGTTGGAAGTTTCTGTAGAATAGAAACTGCATTTTTACTGAATTCAAATGGTTGGCCTCAGCTGTTTTTGTTGCTTGCAAGGGCTGCTGGAGTGTGTACTATCTAGTCCTTGCTAGAGAAAACTTTGTGGCTTTCATCCAGCAAGCGTTTTAGTTTTAGCCTTGTCCCATATGTTCTTGATCTGAGATTGAAATATTGCTTCTAACTTTGAGGATAATATTATCCACACTTTCAATACACAACGTACTTATCTGTTAGTTTCATAATATATATTTACTTCAGAACACTACAGCTTTTAACTGTAAACTCTAAAAATATAGGCTTATTCTGTTGGTTGATGTTATGCTGTTATTTTATAGATGTTTTTAATTATAAATGTATTTTCAGGCCAACAAAATTCTCCTACTAATTGTATGCAGTGCAGAAAAAATGCAGTGTAATAGATGTTATATGTTCATTACATATTTCTCTTTCTAGCCCATATTTGCCACAAATATTAGTTCTGCTGCAGTGTATTTTTAAGTATTCTGCTGTGGAGTATTTTTTATTGGTAGTAAAATATATGTAATATATAATATTAATACTTTGATTAAGGACTTGCAAATTTTTTCTCAAAATTTTAGGGTTATAGAGGTTGTTTATATTTTCTCTGCATGGTGAGTTTTGATAAAGGGTATTAGAATGTAGATTTCTATAACTATATGTCATTAATTTTTTTTTTCATACTGAATACTGAAGATAGGATCTGTGCCATAATCTTAACAAATGATTGTTGCAAAAGTGCATTCCCATTTATTTCAAGCACAATAAACTGAAATTTTTTCTGTCTCTTGCTCACTTCAAAATTAAGAAAATGTGTTTGCAAATAATACATATTCAAAATAACTGTTATGGGGTTACCTTTTTTCAAAATTACCTTCCTTCAAACAATCAGCCTTGTGCAGTCTTTTTTCTTGGTGGTTTTTTTAGTGTTTTGTTGGCTTTTTTTTTTTAGTGTCTTTTTTGTTTGTTTGGTTTTGGTTTTTTGTTTTTGTTTTTTTTTTTTGTTTTTTTTTTTTTTTTCATTTATTTAGATTGCTTTGTATAGGAATTGCTGAATTACTTGATGCTCTCTGACTTTCAGTGTTTGGTAGTGGATTATTTGTAAATTTTTTTTACTTCCAAGAGACTCTATCTTGAAAGGACTTAGGGGAGGGAGTGTTTATTCTAAATTTGGAGTGAATATCTTTTGTATTTGGTATGTGCTTTGGAACTGGCTGCTTTTTATTTTCCTTAACATGCTGCTATACTCTTCAGTCACTGCCCCTTTTTACTGCCTCAAGGTGAAGATGTACAGAAGGTTTTAGATGAGTGGAAAGAATACAAAATGGGAGTGCCAACCTATGGTGCAATCATCCTTGATGAGACACTTGAAAATGTAAGTATGGAAATAGTTGTGAAGGACTGTCTAGAGGGAGGGATGGCATATGCTGGCAGAAGTAATTCTTTGTTGTTTACATTTTTCTTCTGGAGAAATTTACATTCATTGTCAGATTCACAGAGATATGAGAGTTGCTTGATATTGGTAGCTGTGTACAGAAATATAATATGTGAGTCAGTAAACACACTTCTGCATGCTTTCCTTCTCAGATTTTATTTTTTTATTCTGAGTTACATGATTCTGTAAAATATTTCACAGTTCTTGCTAGAACACAGAAAACCTAATGGTTTCCTTCCTTGAGGCTAACATATTCTTTTAGAGAACAAGGGGATGGTGGAGGGAAGACATTTAATGAAATTGGTTAGAACACCTTCATGTTTGACAGTTGCATTCCCTTGTATTTTGTAGGTTCTTTTGGTTCAGGGCTATTTAGCAAAATCTGGTTGGGGATTTCCAAAAGGGAAAGTAAATAAAGAAGAGGCACCTCATGACTGTGCTGCTAGAGAGGTAAGTTATATCAACTCCTTTAAGATAAAGAAGTGAAATTTTGCTGAAATCAGGATATATGTGTTGGGTGAAAAGGCACTTTACTTAGGTAATCCTGAATAAATAGTCTGTTCTTGCAGTCATCTTCTGGTGCCTTTCTGAGTTCCAAAATGGTAATCAAGGCTAAGGTTATATATTAAATAAATAAATAGCTAAGGTTATATATTAAATAAATACATAAATGTGTGAATATAAATATAAATATATATATAAAATATATAATATATATAATAGATTATATATATAATAGATTAATTAATCTATATATAATAGATTAATTATATCTATATAAACATATTTATATATAAATAATATATATAAAATAATTATATATTTTATAAATAAAACAAGAAAAGGTTTATGTTTCACATGCTTTTGCACTAATGTGCTGCATGAAATGAGTGCTGTTTTTAAAGTTCTCTGCTGAACTGTGAATTTACATTTAAGTATTACTTGTGGTGCTTGGGAAATCTTATGTAATTTGGTGTATTAATTTCAAGGGTCACCATAAACATGGAGAAATGGGAATTTAGCCTATGTACACTGGTCACTGTAAAGAGGCTAAAAAGCTGAGTTGGAGGCTGTAGAATTTTATGTAAAAATTGTGAAGAACTTTTCTATTTTCCAGTTATGCTATTTTTCAGTTATTTTCAGGAGCAAGAGTCAGTGTATATTGCAAGTAAAATCTGAAAAATAACATAATCTGTATTTATTGCTCCTGGAGACCTAGATATGTAGTGAAGCTGCATATTCAAAATGGCCTGTAAGAGAATATTACTGGTACAAATTCAGTGTTCATTCAACATAATACAGCCAGAGTTTTTGAGAGAGAAAATCAAGGTGAGAGAAAGTAGTATGATGCATTTAGTGTTCTTCAGTTGGACTGAATCAGTATCTGAGAAATCACAGGGTTTTGGGGTTTTTTTTGTTTGTTTAAGTATGCCTGTCAAGGATAAACTAGACAGCTACTTCAAGAAGAAGTTACATGAAGTGTATCTTCCTCTTCAAGTTATGCCAGCAAATGCATTAAAGGGGACACAGTTATACTGGAGAAAAAAAATCTTTTGATGGTGTTGTTGATTTGAAAAATGTATTTAGATTTCACTAGTGAACAGCAGTGTTGTTGCCATCTTTTTTTCCGACAGGTTAGATTGTCATTGTGGATAGGCTGACAGTTTATTTTTTATCTGAAATAAATCTTTCAACTTCTTTCACTGGAGTCAGCACAGATCTGAAACCATAAACTGCATATGTGTAAAATCTAATTGAAGAGGTCTTCAATTGGCAGTGCCTACAGAGTTCAGTACCTCATGAGTAGTACCTCAGAAGCTGATGAGAACTAACCCCATCCATATTAATAAATTGTTACATGAAGGTGTAATAGAATTGTTTCAGCTTGCATAACAGGTTTGCAGTTTCAGAGAAATCTAAAGCATGTAGATCCTTTTTCTATTTCTTAGCAAACCTCTATGTGTAAGGGCTTGTTTTTCCCAGCAGCTTTCATGGATGTATCTGAAACATAGCCATTCCTTCACTTGTGGTAATAGGTTGTGAAAGGATGACTCTGAATACATACACACTGATTTCATCTAAATACTTCTCAGGTGTTTGAAGAAACTGGTTTTGACATAAAAGATTATATCTGCAAAGAGGACTACATTGAGCTGCGAATCAATGATCAGTTAGCACGGCTGTATATCATTCCTGGAGTTCCCAAGAACACGAAGTTCAACCCCAAAACTAGAAGGGAAATTCGGGTATGTGCTATCTTGTCTGAATCTACAGGAACTTTGCAGAAGTTGCTTTTTAAAGCCAGAAGTGTGTAAAATAATGAACCCACAATGAACACCTTAAATGCTAGGTACCAGTGCACTGTAGGGTTTTGTGTTGACTTCTTGCAGCTCACCTGCAGGTCTGATACTTGACCATCTGTCTGACATCTCCATTCACCATGAAAAGACAATAGAGCATGCTGCTAAAATACAATTCTCCTTTTCTCATAGGTGATGTATATATTAATTATATTATTCATAGTTACAGATGCAAATGTAGCTATATATTTGCAAGTTTAATTATTAGTTGGGGACATGCAAAAGCCATATCAAAAGGACATATCCAGAGGATAAACTAAGGATTGTTTTCTTTCTTTCATGTCTAATACTGTCAGATTTAAAAAATAGTATATTTTAAGGAGGAAGTTGGGAAGGGGACAGAAAAAGGGAACTATTTTGGATGTATTGTGTACCATTAGGCTTTTAAAAGGTATTGTGAAAGTGAAAGACAAAGGCTCAGGTAACAACTTGTTGGAACCTTTGTCAGTGGTATCTGTAATCTTGAAGTTTGAGTATTTTTTCCTTTATGGCAATTCAGTTCAAAACAGCTATATTTCCATGCAGATTGTGTCACTAAATAGGGCATTTTGCTTATTTTGCTTTCTAAATAAAGAAAGTATTTGACTCAACAGGACTTAATTTTTTGCATTAGAGACCTGTTTTTTTAAAACATAAGATGAAATTTAAGTGTTTTTTAAAATATACAGTAAATATGGTACTTTGTAGAACAGTGACCATACGTGTGGGAATGTTGAAGAGTTCTTCCAATGACAGAATTTTGAAGCTTTGTCTTCATCTGATCTGATGCCACCAGGAAGGCTGGTTTTGTACTCCCTGTAGAAATTGAAGACTTGTTCAGTTTGTAACTTATTTCCATAATTTGCATATTTTCTGTACCTAGGGCTTTCAGAGTAGATTCTGTAATAGAAAATCTCATGTGGGTTCTTCTACACTGTCTGTGGTCAGAATTCCTAATTTTGTTCCCCATTCTGCTAAGTATACAGTTTTAGCTATTAAAACTGTAACATATAAACAGTAACACAAATCCTATCCTATTGCCATGTTTTTTTTTCTTTTATTACAAAACATGAAACTTGCTGTCAGACTAAACACCCTTCTTACTTTTGAATGGGTATTGGTGGTCCAGTATTGATCACACTTTAAGTAAAAAGTTTTTGAAAAATATTCAAAGCCTGTACATTTATTTATGGCATTCTGTGTGCAATGGTTTGGTTGGTTTGTTTATGAAACTCTTATTCAGAATTTAGTTGCTGATTAATACCTTTCATATTTTAGGTGTGATATCGTGCAATTTTGTGCTGTACCATCTGCTACTGTAGTGGCAGTCGGAAGAGTTAATTAACCTTTTGTGAAAACCTTTTGTGAAAAACGCTGTTGTGGCCCGTTAATTTAAGTCTTCCATGGTAATTTTTTAATTAAGGGAAATAATTGTGGCTGATACACATTTGTAAAATTCTGCTACGGCTACAATAGAGGGTATTTTGATTTTATTTCTTGTTTTTCTAGAATATTGAGTGGTTTTCCGTCGACAAATTACCATGCCACAGAAATGACATGACCCCAAAGTCCAAGTTGGGTTTGGCACCTAACAAATTTTTTATGGCAATTCCTTTCATCAGGTATGTTTGAGATGAGGCAAATACTAGGCCAGGGTCTTTCAGATAACTTTAAATTCTTTAGATTTGTTTTGGTAAGTAGATCTTGTTGTACTACTCCTTGCTCACAGACCATTGAGGGAATGGATTTCCCGAAGGAATGGAGATTCCTCAGACAGTGACAATGGTTTTTCATCTGCAGGGAGCACACCCTCTAAGCCCAACTTGGAAAAAGCTAGGTAAGAACCAGGTCAGTTTAACATCTCTATATTCTTTCTTACAAAACACTGGTCATACAAATATGACAATATTATACAATGACAATTATATACAATATTGCTTGTCCTTTTCTCTTTATCCAAGGATTTGTGTTCCAGTAATAAGTAAATAACAGAAAAATAAGCATAGACGTCTATCATAGATTTGTAAGTAAGGTGAGAACTTAATTAATGTGTTGATACACTGGTGTCAGAACTGAGATTTCCTCAGTCTTGTTTATGGGAATCAAAAAAAACCAGAAGCTAAAGCAAGTAGATAACTTCCAGTGCTTCAAGTTCAATATTTTTGGCACTTCTGCACAGGAAAAGTAGGTCTCTCCAAAGCAGGAGTGTAAAGTAGTCTAGGAAGTGCTAGATAAAACCTGTGGGAATCAGTAGGGGAACATGTGCTGCTGGCTTTAGATTCAGCTGAGTGGAAAGTGGTAGAGCAAATGTTGAAACCTGTAGTCCTTATGAGAGGACTTCAGTAATTTGAGCCAGGCCAACACCAAGACTGAAAACAACAGGGCAAATGTTAATGTGGACTTGGCCTCTTGTCTGTGGAGAATGCAAATGGCAGTGAGCATTATTAGAGTTTCCATACTAGGTTACTTAAGATTGTCTTCCAGATTATTCTCAAAAAGCAGAAACTTTTTTCATATTTGTCTTCTGCTCTCAGTAGATTTGAAGTTGTGTTGTAAACTGTCTTTGTTTTCCTGCACTAGATCCAAACTTCGCTGTAGTCAACAGGTGTTTACAGATGGCTTTTCAGGAGAGCACTTGGTGAAGCCAAAACAGCCACAGAAGCCATATAATCATCCTGAGGTGTCTGAAGTTTTGAAAATAAAGGTAGGTTGTTTGTTAGGCAAGCATATGCATCTGGACTATTTAAAATGGATGTCTTTGTTCATAAGGGTTTCCTCTCTAGGACAAAACCAATGAATTTAATCTCCAGAGAATGCAAAAATAGAGACGTGGGAGTGGGAGAATACTCTTGGGCATTCTTTGATTTATCTCACACTAGAAGTGGTGGTGGTATCAGGTAGCAATTGTGTTGTTTCATGTACAGATAGTAATTAGTACTTGCCGTTTTGCTGGAATCTCTAGTATTTCTGCATTAGTGCATGGAAATTCACTGAACTGAATTAATTGTGTAATAATTCTGTCATATTCAGTGCTAGAGAGAATGGGTAACAGTTGATGGCCCTGTAGCTTGAGTGTGTGTTTGGTTAGTTTCAGTGGGCTTCCCTTTTTTCTGCACAAGAAACTGTTTACATGTTTTGAAGTTACTTGGAGTGAAGTTTTAATTACTAAGTAGGAAATGTCAATGCAATGATGTCCAATTCTGCCATTTAAACTCTTCCCTCTACTTATTTTGGACTTAACAGCAGAGTCAGAGCCTGAGGAACAATGGCAGAAAGCAAAATCAAGACACTTCCAGCCAAAAGAAGCGAACAAATGGACTGCATAGTCAACCAGTTAAGCAAAACCATAACTTGGTAAGAAACATGCAGGGTCTGTGTCAGTAATATGTTCCAGTAATGCTTAACAAATATCCAGGACAATGTCCTGCTGAAACAAAGTAGAGTGCTTATCTATCAAGAGTATGTTTGGTCAGAGTATTTGATACATGTTTGTAGATGTATAACATTTCTTACCTTGTATGCATATACATCTATAAACAAGCATACTAAATTTCAAAGTTTGCATTTTAGAAGTAAGTAATTTTAGCTGTTGAAAATCTGTCAGCTGTTTCAATACACAGTCCTGCAGCTTCCCAGGTTCCTGTCATGTAAAAGCCTTCTGTGGTGTGTAGTACACATCTTATTTATTCATGTGTGATGTCGTACTGTAAGCATGGGGTTTTGTTATGCAACACTTTAGAAAGTGGTGATGTAAATACTTATTATTTCCCTTCTCTCCAGCAAAAAATGTTGAGACACAGACTTGGCTTGGATGCCAGAATCTCATATAGTTTTTCAATCATAACGTAGAGCTAGTTACAGCAGTTTGTAAATTCCAGTGTCACACTGTTTGTGTTTTACTTTCCCTTGCAGTTACTAATTGTGTTTGTCCAGTTCTCAGTGGGACTTGACTCACTGGGCTGTGCTCTCCCTTAGAGTAGAATGTGCTTTGGATTTCCTGTTTTTTTATGGCTCTTCAGTATACTTTGTTGGCCCTTGTGCAGCAGTGAGCCCCCAGTTCTCTGTGCAGCTCAGCTGGCTTTTCCAGGCTTTAGTTTTTTTTTTTGTTTACAGGCTTTAAACTAAATTCTTCCCATTCTGGCTTGTGATTATTGCCTTCTTTCTCTTATTCATGTAAACATACAGAAACCAGAAACTTGTCCTAAATTCCTTACTGCAAGAAATGATTAGTTATGTTTGGGTGTAGAAGAGTGAATTGACTGCCCAGAAATTTAAATGGATAGGAAAAACCTGTAATGGTAATCCGTAAGATCTTAATTGAGATAACTGTTAATGCTCCACAGTTACTTTGCAAGCTTTTCACAAATTTTTCTAAATATTTATCTTTTTCTGTTTCACTTGTGTTTTCGTGATGGTCCGTCTTTCAAAGTTTAAATATTTTGTGTCCAGTGATAATTTTGTGATGTAATTTGAAGGCCAGGAAACTCTTAATTTGGAGAGAGTGCAAAGGGCCATATTTTTTTGTATCGGTGTACTTACAGCAGCAATACCTGGGGCTAAAACAATTCCTCCCTTAAGAGTTCTGAGTTTGTGTCTCTAAAGCATGTTAATTTAATTGGTAGTAGCAGCATGTCTGTAAATACATTCCCCTTGCCTCTTTTGGGACAAGCTCATTGAAGAGTGGGTTTATGCATGCACAATGTTGATTACACACCATCATATGCAAGATGCTTCCATCTTAAAACAAAATTTTCCCCTAAAAGTCTGCATATTAGAAATGTTTTAGTGACTGTTAAAAGGTTGCATGATTCTGAAAGACTTGTGGATTTAAAGCATGTTTGCTACATCAAGTTATGTGACAGAATTAAAGCTGAGTTAGAGGTAAAATAATTCAGATGTGAGGTGTGTCAAAGCAAACCAGCATGCCAGTTAGATGATGCTTAAATATAATGCCATTTCTTTATCAAGTATGTGTAATGTATGGTCATTCTCTTCACCAGAAATGTGAAAAAAGGCTTAATCCAAGAAGACTTCAAGATAACTTTGAAACAGGCAAGTGCAGTCAGAATTTTCATCCACTGTCCTGTGCTACAGGCTGAAGGCACCTGAATAATGATGGTTGAGGGCTTTTCCTCATGCCAACGTTCAAAATCTTATAAAACCATGTTTTTCCAAGGTAGATTCAGGTTTTGTTTGTTTTTTCATGAAAAAGATACTGTTTCATGTTGGTTTTGCACACCTGATATACACCAGGTAGCTGAGTGAAAAAGTAACTAAAAGCTAGTTTAGAAAAATAGCATCTGAGTCAACACAGTGCTGGTAATTGAGTGTGCTTTAAGGCTTTCTGTCCTGCTAGTAATAAGCTGTAGCAGAGTGCACACAGTTCCTTACTTATTGCTCAGGAGACAGTGCCCTTTTTTTTCTCCTTGTTGAGAAATGGCTATTGAGAAATGAAGCAGTATTATACATGTAAAATATAAGTATATGTATGTGGCTGTTGAAAGTGTTTCCAGATTGCAGTGAATTTGAAGATTTATTCTAGCCTCTAGACAACTTTTAAATATGGCTGGTTTGAGTTACCGTCTTCTGTTTATGACCAAACATACATGTTTTGTTATAAATATTAATTGAATATATGTTTGAGGTATGGCTTTGTGTTGTTTCAGATACTTTTAGTGGCAGCTGCCCATTTAAAATTTGTTTAATACCTTTTTCTCTTTAAGCAGAAGCAGCATACGAGATGTGTTGCTCCAGCGAAGATGTGCTGCCAGAACATGTAGACGGACATTCTGTGGCATGCAATGGCCATTACAAATTCGTTTTTTCATCAAGAGCTTTCTTGAGTTTCAAGTTTGACCATGATGCCATAATGAAAAGTTTTGACCTCTGACAGCAAACTTATTATGAGTAAGAATTAGACTTGCCTGTTGCAACGGAGGGGCTTTCTTATCCAGCCTTACTCTTTCTCAGGAGTTTTTAATTTTGTTTTGTTTGTTTGTTTTTGAATGCAATGCAGGGACTGACTGCTGGTTTGGAAAGGTTTGTTCTCTTTGCAGTATGGGAGTGGCATAGTCAAGTGTTGCACTTTAAATGCAGTCTAGCCTTTGTCCACAAAAGTACCTTTCCAATGTTCAGTTCACTTGTTCCTAGCTGTGCATTAGAGGGCATTCTTTTTACTTGTGGTTTTTTTTTTTTTTTTTTGTGGTTTGAATTTTTTTTTTTATTGTAACTTGCCGTGTGTTTCGTAGAATGTCATTGACTTTTTTTTAACTGTTGGAGTATACCAGCTTGCTAACCTTTTAACTTTTCTGATGTAAATTATTGGACTTGTTTGTCATTATTTTGTAGAACATTGCAATATTACACAGTGGCAATGAAACTAATTCTCAGAGGACAGCTCTGTCCTAGTGATTTTGAAACCAAGTTGCACATTTCAAACTTAGTCTCAGCCTGTCATCCTTTCTCTGTACTGATTGTTTGCCCCAAATACCTTCCCTCCTTCACACTGATAGTTTTTGTTGGCTGGCAATCACTAGTACTTGAGTCAAATATATAGAGTGTTGACTTTTTGTACGTACTCTTCCTTGGTCTTCAATAATGACACTCAAACTGGGTAAAACTCAGTCTTTCAAAGTGTCTAACTTAGCTCTTGTGCACTGCCCACAGCTGCATAAGAAGAAGTTACAAAGCAGCTGCTTGCGAAAAAAGAGAAGCTTAAACTTGTCTGTGAGAGGTAACTTGTGTAGAATTTATACTGAATGTAAATAAGCCTCTGTAGATCTCACTGAGGAGGAGGGCAGGTGCATGGGTGATAGAGGCATTGTGTGACACTGAACAGCTTAATCAGGCTTCCAATAACTGTTCCAAGGGTGTTCAGTATTGTATCCTGTGCTGTTGTCCTCAGATATCTTGTGTAGTGTATCTGCTCTGTATATATCCAGTAGTATTGAATTGCACTTGCAGTTAGCATTTAAATGATTTAGCCTCAGTCATTTTTCAGCTACACTGCTTTCTTAGGAAAAACATGAAAGATGGGGTGGAGATAGAGGGGAGGAACAAAAACCTGTAAGAGTTGGGGTGATGAGCTGTTACATCTCCTGCAGGTCAGTGGGTTTTGAGCATCTGTGTTGCAGTGAAGAGAAATGCACTGAAATCATTTGTCACAGCAGCTTGTGATAGCAAGCATGTCCCAGATTTAAAAATGGACTTTTCTCTAGAATAGAGGTAATTGATAACTTGATAGGTTGAATGAACTACACCCTTGTAGTGTATCTACATGCACTGAGTTTTTATGCAACTCATATATGTCATCCAAAACCAAAATCCTGGTCTTCCTTCAACCACCCTACTTCATACACCCTACCTAGTGTTTTCCTCAGAAATAGCTTTAGAACTTTCTCCTGGTTTATTCACCTGCCTGGCACCAGGTGATTTGGAACTCTAATGCTGTAATAATTTTGGCCATGGGAGCATTCAACTTCTGTATCAGTCAACAGGAGAAATGGACTACAGCATTTCCTCCTTCTGGAGGACAAGGGTTCTGAGGGCCTTGTTTTTCAAGACCAAATTGTGAAATAGCTCAATCTAGCTTTGACTCACTTTTTTTTTTTCTTTTTTTTTTTCTTAAACGTATCCAAAGGCCATACAATGACAAAGAAGAGTAATTGAGAGGGTAGGATAATGCTGGAAAAGGTTATGTTATTCAGCTTCAGGTGAAAACTAATATTTTGTTACTTCTTTGTGCTATTTTAGTTGATTTCCCAGCAAAAGTGCCTTTACTCATGGTGAGGCAGAAGTTTGTATTATATCCTGAGGCTGCTACTGCCTGTGGAGCTAATAGGACTCTCCTAAGGCATAATTAAATAACGGGCTGTGGAAATCTTTTTATAAATAAGTTGACTTTTCAGATAAATTAGTTATAGATAATTTAGTGCTCTGTGAAATAATGGGGATGTTGATGAAGCAGTGAACTTGGAGCATCTGTCTTCTGTTTGGGAAGTCCTGTCCCAGGCAAGAGGAAGTCTTTAGAACAATGGAAGCATGTTCTATGAATAGGAGATGCTGGCTGCCCTCTGTTTACTGTGTAATATTTTCTTCTTAGTGAAAGCTTGGTTCAGTATAAGAGACATTGGTTGCTTCATTAAGCAACCCAAAGTGAAGCTTATACATATGTAATTCATTTTAGTAAACCTAGCCTTAATGTGAGTTGCAAATAAATGTGATAAATATGCAATAACTTCTTTGTATAAGGGTACAGTTTCCTTTAGTAGCATTGCTTTCTGCTTTCATAGTAAGGTTTATCCTAAAACTATGTAAATGTGGTGGCATGTGATCCACTTGGTGGGCTCCAACGTGCCCTGCACCATGAACCATTTTGTTTACTGTTGTTTATGTTCTTATTTCACCATCCCTTTATAATTGTATTTCTAAGTTTAGAAGTACTGTTTACATTATCTTCCATAAAACAGTGAAGAAATACTGCAAGTGAGATACAGGCTTTAGTTCTGTGAGTTTTTACTTTACAGGAACTAGACACAGGGAAATAGGAACTGTATGCCTGTCCGACTCGAGAGCTGGTGTTGAGATACTTGAAAAACAAACACTGTCAATTTGAGAATGCTGCCATGTTAGGGGTTATTCATATAATAAACGGTCAGTCAGTGTTCTTGGAATCAACGTGCAGAGTAAACAAATATTTAGCCAAAATCCTACAGCCGTGTGGTGCTAGGAATCTGGTACTAGTGTGCAGTTTCTAGTACTACATCATCTCCCTGCTTTAGCATAAGGTTTTTAGCATGTCTTCTCAAAATGCTTCTATACTTTCACCTTGGACTGAAGAATGGCCTGCCCAGTTAGTTAAGTGACTGAAGTGCTGCTGACTTCAGCTCCTTGATGTACATCAATCATCTAGCTTTTGAAAGTAACTGTGTTTTGCATAGTTTGAAGTCTGGCAACAGTGATTCTGGGAAGGAGAGGGGGGAAATAGCTTTACTTATTGCACAGAGTATTATTTTTTACCACAATGTAAATTCTTTAGACCAAACATGCATAAATTGTTTCTAATGAACTTTTGGGCCTAATCGCTGTTCCAGGCTTCTGTGCTGTGTCAACCTTCCTGAACTAATTTGGTGATTTGAGAACAATACTTAGTGATTTTCTTTCACCTAACTGTGGCAGTTACAGATGTAACAGTTCCTTTTAAAAACAAGGCAGGCTTCGGGTCTGGCTACTTCTAACATACTTGCTCTCAGATTGTAATTTCAGATAAGAACACAGTTCTTCCAACCTTTACTTAATGTGGTGATTTGCTTTTGCACTCATGCCATTATGGTGTGAAAAGCAAAGAGTCTACATTAAGAATCCAAACTCCAATATCCTGTGGTGCAAGACAGCACTGCTGCTCCAGGGGTAACTGACTGCCCTGGGGTCAGTGGGTTGCTTAATCCTCAGATACTTGGGGTTTTGTTACAAATTCTGAGCAACAGGTTTCTTTTCCAGAGGTAAAGCCAGGTGCCTTCATGTTTGAAGTTAGGAGGTTATATTCTAAATGTGTTAGGAAGCTCATAGTTACTGAGAATTAGTAGAATAGTCTCTCTTGTTGATACTGATTTCTGTAAATAAACCAATTTTAAGTCTTGCACTGTAAATGTTAAATAATCTGGTGCTTATACACAACTTCATAATTTCAAATTGTTTTTTGTTATTACAATATTTCAGCTTTTGAAACAACCAAAATTATTTCAGATATGGTAAATTTATACAAACTAACTGAAGGTGCTTTTACAGTAAATTAGACTTAGAAACTCTTCCGTAATAGGTTTTTGTTCATATGCATTTATAGCAATAGTGTAGTCAAGAATGGAAGTAGGCTAAATGCTAGTATTTGCACTGTTCTTAATCCCATACGTAAGCACTGATAGATGCAGTAGGTTTTGTGCTGTGTGTGCATTTCACTTTTTCATGTAGCTTGTGAACTTAAAAGGAAGTCAACATTAAACAACAATGACATTGGCCACATTCAAGATTGTACCAGAGGAACTATTCCAGATTGGTAGCAGTATAATGAAACAAAATACGTGGGGTGTGTCTTTCCATTGAAAATATTAGGTTTAGCAAGACGTAACTTTTTGTACAGATTCAGCTTTACAGAAACTCTTCTCTTTAAATTGTTCTCAGCTCTGAGTGCTTTTGGGAAGTCCAAAGTGGCTTTGGGTCCTCCTTCAGTTCTTCCAGGAAAAAACAAGCTTCCTTTTAAGTAACAGCTAACATTTCATAGAGTACAGAATGTTTAAATTTGGAAAGGTCTCTATGGATTTTACTGAAAACAGAGTGTTTTGTAATTTCTAAGCATTTATTATCAGAAGAACTAGCTTCTTGTTTCCAGTATAGGTTACAGTTCAGTGCCTTTAAGAAAATGATTACAGCTCATAGAGCATTAATCATTTTAAAATAAGGCATTCATAGCTTTTTGAGAAAACACATCTTGCAAACACAGTTCTCTATGACACATTTCCAATGGTGAGAAGAACTTTGCAAATTTTTTTAAGCATGTTTGATCAAACTTACTAAACTGTGGGGATGAAATTTGTATCTTACTGGTTGGATACATAATTTTGTTATGCAGAACATATACGGAAAACTGCATGATTAAGAGCTCTCAGCAAATACTTCTCATGACAATACTTGCAACAGAACTTTACTGTGTCTGCATGGCACTGCACTATGTGGAAGTTTAACTTCATCCGTGAGGAGCAGTTTAGCTGGGTTTGCAAGGCACTTTTACCATTAAAAAGCAAAACAGACCCCCAGAAGGTGTGGGGTTGTTAATTCAGGCAGAATGCTTGATCAGTGTTCATGTTCCAGGACTCAGACTTGGGTATTGCTTCCAAACAATGACACTTTTCAGGGCAGCGCTGCATGCCTCGCAGAAAACGGGAGCCAGTGCTTTGTGGTGTGGCTCAGGCATGAAGAGTTATGTCTTCCTCCTGTTTGTTAAAGATCAAGAACTTGATCTGTTTTCCTCTGTGTGTAAGTGGCACATCGGTGCTCATTAAGTAGAAAGTAAGTACAGCTAAAGAGTTAAAATTATTACAGATTTTATACAACTTCCATTATGTTCTTTTGAAGAAAGTTTGCATTAGTCAGCTCTTCAGTTGTATTAAGCAGAATCTGTAACTACCTGTAACATCTACTGTACTGATTATTGTGATTTTTTGTTATAAATTGATTCAAAACTGAAGCACACCATTTAGGAGACTATAACTAAGTTAACATTTTCTTCTATATTGTTATTTTTTCCTCTGTAAAATTAAATTACTTTATAAATAAACAAACGTATTGAAGTACTGAAGTATGAATATAAGGATTGCTGGTCATTGTGGAACGTGGTGCCTCTGCTGCTGGTACTGGTTATTCTTTCACTGTAGAATGTTTACGTGTTGTCTTAAGCCAGCAGTGATTATATCTCCTCTAGCAGGAGATAGAAGTTATTTTTTAAAGTCAGCTCTAAAGGTGGATGCCGTTCAACACAATGGAAAAAAAAACCTAAACGTGTTAGACAAACAGAAGAAAGGAAGTATGTGAACTTCAGTTAGTGCTTTTAGAATACTTATGTAATATTATTTTGTTTTTTCTTTTGGTCCATATAACTTGTTATGAAAAGATTTGGATGTGCGGTAACAGTTTCACACATGCCCTTCCATTTCCATAAAGCGTTCATTGACGATGTAGAGGGTACTGATGTTCTTGAGCCCAGCTAAAACCTGTGGCCAGATCTGAATTCTTAACAACTTTTCATGGCTCTGTTAAGTGAACTTCACTGACCATCTCCCTCAGTAACTTAGCTTGGAGATGAGATATCTTTGTGCAAAGGTGCCTTTAGGGAGTCCCATTCAACAGTAAGGTGACAAGCCATGGTGAAACAACTCCCAAGGCAAAGAAACAGCATTAGAAATTTATTCAGAATATAAGAACATTTGTAAAATACGTATTATAAATGCCTCTGTATAAATAAATGCAGTTTTTACAATTCTATATCAAATGAACACAAAATAGCTATTTTACAGCTACTTGGAAACTAAAAGGTAGCAACACATTTAAAGCTAATTCAGAAAGGTGAAAAGTTTCTAAAGTTACAATGCATGGTGTATTATACTGGAGGAGGAGAAAACGCTAACAAAACCAATATAATATGACATGAATGCAAACTTAAGTCACATGTGCTTTGCAAAAGCTAACAGTACATTCAAGCTGGTGAAGATTTATACATCATAGAATTAGAAAAAAAGTGAATGTCTTCTGAGCATCTGTAAAATACAAAGTTTCGTGCACTCTGGTGACTTAAGAAAATCAAAAAAAGTCCAATCATTAATTCATGAATCGACTTAGGCTGGCAAGAATCACCTTTTTTTTCTTACTTTGCAAATTTATTATTTCTGCAACAAGCTTTAAGAGAGTTAAGTTGCTGTAACTACGGTGCACTGCACACTCAGGTATTTCTGATGTGCAGGTATTTCAAAGTTGCATAAAAGGAGTTTGAGGTTTATATGGCATTTTTTCTGAGGGTTGGTGCCATTTTAATGGGGTACACTGGAGCTGAAGCTGATTATCATTAATGAACAGTTCACAGTAATATTAAACCTGTGACCACTTCCCAGTCGATCCTTTCAAGTATGCTAACAAATGATGCAGTAGCTGCTTGCTGAGGCAAATAAATCAACTTTTTTTAGTTGATAATAAACTGGTGATCTGGCAGACTATGGCTACTGCTGAGGCTGGATGGTACCAGTGCTGCTTTTTCATCTACAACCTTTATGGGAATAAAAATGGGAGTGGTTTACATTTACTATGACTTATAATTAATTCTAATGCACTTCTAGAGCACAGTTGGCATGGAAGATTTGTGGTATATGTAGTGAAATAATCAGCAAATTGTCAGGCCTGAAAAAAACACTGAGGCTGCAGCTTTTTACTCCTCTGAGTATCTGAATTTTTTTATGGAAGAAACTCCTCTGTGTGAGGGTGCTGAGGCACTGGGTCAGGTTGCCCAGAGGAGTTGTGGCTGCCCTACCTTTGGAATGTCCAAGGCCAAGTTAGACAGGGTTTGGAGCAACCTGGTTCAGTGGAAGATGTCCCTGTCCACAGAAAGGGATTGTAATAAGATGATTTTTAGGGTCCTTTCCAACCCAAATCATTCTGTAATTCCATTAATCTAAATAGGGGAAACAAAAAGAGTCCAAGAGGCAGCTCAGTTCTGTCCTCTCCAGTGGACGGTATTTCACATGGACATTCTGAGGTGACCTCAAGTCACACGGGTGTTTCACATGCTGGAAGACAAAAGTGTAACTGCATTTTTGCCACAGCACATGGTGGATACTTTCCCTTGTGATTCTTGAGAACAAGTGTGCTCAGCTACCAATGAAGCTGATGGCAAACCCCCACCATCCTGGGTGTGAGAAAATTGGGCCAAAAAAGGGAAAACACCATAGAGGGCTGCTAAGCAGAACAACAGAGACAGAAGAAATCAATGTGCCTCCTCCCTCTCAAGAGACTCACTTGCAATAATTTCTAGTCACATTATAAATTAAGAAGTACAATTATTCTGAGAAAGAGGACTGATCAAAACCAGAACATCACTACCTAAAAATTTTGAAATCAGCATTGTTTTAATTTGCTGTTGCAAAATCAACCACATGTGATGCTGGCTTTGTGGATGATGTACTAGACTCCAGACAAGTAGGAATGACTACTCTAAGGACAGAAGACAACAGCAGCTACAGTGGTAAGAGATGGAAAACCAACTGCTACACTTCCAGACGTAACCAAGACTTAATGAAAATGCCACATTCTGAACACAAATTCCTGCAACTATGTTGTCTGACCTAACCCAACAGTAGGCAAAAAGAGTCCTTTCAAATATTTCCTTAACACTAGTAATGGAAGGAATAAATGAGAAAAGTTATCGTAATTCCAAATACACTAGTAAAAAACTTGAGGTGCAACTCAACATGTAAAGCAAAAACGATAAACATCTCCTGAAATCAGATTCACTGAAAATCAGCCTGGAAAAGGCAAAGCAAAGGCATAACACAGCAGCATGCTACCACAGTGAAGGGACTATAGCTTGGCTTTTTAAAACACACATAGTTTTTTACGTACTCTGTCAAAAAAAAAAGCAAATTCTGAATATAAGAGGTGCTATGGCAGACTCCTGTATTTTGAGCCTTACAGAAATCAACCTGATCCCCATGATTTGCTTAATGTTCATTAACCTAACAAGCCAAAATTTGCACTTCAGTCAGTTTGGTAATACAGTAGTACGTGATTTAAACAAGAGAATGTTAGCAGTAACAAAAACTAACCTAAGAAAGCTGTAAGACTTCACCATTCACATTCTGTTTGTGGCTGGATATCCAAACATCTACACATCTATAATTTTGTGCCTATGTATTCAATATTAAACAGGTACATTACTTAAGTACCTATTTTTGGTGTAAAAAAAAAAAAAAAGACATTCTACCTCTTGATCACAGTAAGCTGTAATAAGCACAACACACATGACAAAAATGGCCCAGCTTCTTAAAGAAAACCTTGAATATAGTGTATATAGCAAGAAAAAACAACATTTTCTATGTTGCAAGCAAAGTAGTTGCAAACACCCTGCAATATAAATACCCGGAGGTCTTCCGTAATTTCTTACTCACTCTTGGCACAGACTGTCTGTGTGGCATGGTGAAACCCACAGCCTTTAGCCCTCATATGCACTGTAAGAATTACACTTTTATCATAATTCTCAGAGATGCAACTATGCTTTATTGTTTTTTTCCCAAGTCAACAGGAGTTTTCCTACCTGATCTGCACTGTGAGCAGCAGAATTGCAAGCAGGGTGCAAAGAAAAAGCCAGCCAGGCTGTCATCCCCATTCTGCAGCTGCCTCTTTGGTGGTGTAACCACAGCAGCGAGTCATGAGAGTACAGTATGGACTTGGGTGCAGAGAGAGCTCAGGGACTGGGAAAACTTCCACATGATCTCCAAACTACCCAAATGAAAACCTCTTAACATGAGTTATTCTGCTATGTGACACTGTCACCCATGGGCCACTGATAAAATGGAAGAGAAGCTGTATGAATACAGACAACAACACAGACAATGTACACAATTATAGCATGATAATTCAGGCACTGCCATTTTACATTATGAAACAGTCCTTAAGGTTAACACTTTTATTATCCCCATGATACCTCCCTGGGATCCCAGAGAAGGAACTTTTAAGTTTTGTCAGCATTGACAATCAGAGCTTTTAACATCTAAAGCTACCTAAAAGTCGACCTCCAAAAGAAAGCAAGCTGTAATGGCACTAAGCACCCTTTAAAGAGATGCACTTAAAGTGAAGTTTCATTGGTGTGTGGTCTGGAGTTCTCTTCTTCCAGTAAAGCTATTCTTTGTTTGAGCATTCTTACTTGGGTTTCATGTCTCTCCACCATGGCCATCATTTGTGATTCCAGTTTCTTCAGCTTATTTTGATGCTTTTTCTTTGCTTTTTCATAAGCTGCTACCAAGTTGCTGTTAAAAACAAAAGGCATACAAGGTAATTCAAACAGGCTTGTTTCAGAGTAAGTGCTACAAAAAATCTAATCCAAAGTCCCACCTTCAGGGAATTTCAAAGGCTAGGTACTAGGTAGGGGTACTGAACCCCTTCCAAAGTTTAGCAGTGCTTTAAAATGGATTAGATCCAAACCCTTCTGATCCAAACCCAGATCAATGCTAATGTCTGTGTCTTTCCTGGGGGAAGCACACACCTTTTCCAGTAAACTGGTAAAGAAAACTTTCAAAGAGGCAGATGGAAGTTGCTGTTGACAACCTCTCATACCACTGTTTATGAGTCAAGATATCAGATCAGATGTGATTGATAAAAACATTGCATGGCCAGAATCTGCTTAGAAAGTCAAGGACTGATTTTGCATTCTTCATTTTAAAGAAGGAAGATTTACATTCAGAGGATGGCATCCTGTGCTTAATTGGTAGCTGCTGAGTAGCTTCTGTGCCTCCACCTTGACTGGGTTGGAAAGCTTGGGATGGGTGCTGCTTCTCACCACAAAGGCTTTTAAATGCAATTTAAGGAAACCACATTGTGAGTCAGAGGCTGCTTGCAGGAAGGGCAGCTGCAGTCCACCATATTCCTAGGCCATCCAAATACAGTACAACAAAAATGCCCTGACTGAGCAATGGAGCTTAGGTATGATTATGCACACTTAGGTGTGATTATTAATGAAGAGGTAGGAGCCAAAGAAAAGGGAGGAGATAAAAACAAAGCAGCAGATTCTTTTTTTTTTTTTTTTTTTGTTTGCTTTTT